CATTAAACAGCGCAAGTATATCTGTCAGTCAGCAACAGTGTCTGTCAGAGCATTTGACAGGGCGGCAAGCTGCCTTAAACTTGTTAACTATATCAAAGTGATTTTGACGCAATTAATATAAGCTTGTGTCATGTTTAGGACAAATTGTACTACGTAGCCTAGCTACTTTCACTGCAGCAGCTCACACTGCAACCTCCGCTATTTTTCAGATGTGCTCATATCAAACTACTGTATCGATATAAACGGTATTGCCTCATTCCATAGCGTTTCAAAAAATATAACGATACATCGTAGATACTCGATATATTGCCCAGCCCTACTTACAACAGAAGAAAAAAAACCTCAACTGTCTTGACTGAATAACTTTAGTAACTAAGGATTCATCTATATTTATGCAGTGAAGACTATACAGTGTTATTTCACATCTGATTACTTTAGTTAGATAAAGATTAGATAGCTAATGTACAGAAATTGAATACTGTTAGAAGATCTAGTTTGATCATTTGATCATATTTTATTACAGGCTGTTTAATTGATTTTAACAGTGTTTGAAATTTATATTTTATATTTATGTTTGTTTGTTTTTTAAATTTGCATTGTTCTTGCATTCCATGTAAAATTCTAGCCAGTAAAATAAAAAAAAAATAAACTTACAGGCCAATGGCGACTCAAGCTTCAGTGTCCACAGAGGGTTGCCATTGGTCATTTTATTAAAGTAAAAAAAAACACGACAAACGCCAAACTCGAAACATTCCTACAAGCAGAAATGTCAGAAGACTGAATCAAATGACCAGATATTAAGTTTCAATATGAAAACTACTCACCAAATATACCCTATAAAAGTCTGCGTCGTTGTCACTTCAGGATTTGAGCTCTAAAAGGGAAACTGTTGCTAATATCATAACAAAGGTTGGCGGCATAAGAGTAAATGGCAGTTTCCTGCAGGATGGTTCATATTTCGTGCTATAAACTATTAGAGGTGGTCAGAGAGAAGGGATGAATGGAAAGTAGGAATGCAAGGCCCGCAGAAGGCTACAGCCATCCGTTTCCTAGCACTTCCTTCATATGTTAATGAGAGTATACAGCTGAGTGAAGGGGGAGGGTGTTGAGAGAGAGACAGACAGCATGTGAGTAGTTAGACACCTGATGGTCTCTTGAAGGGAAAGACAATACAAGTCTGAGTCATGCCTCCTACTCAAAGAATCTATCCACAACTCCCCCCCCCCAGACTCAAAAGACCTTACTACAGAACATCACAACTCCTTACGGCAAAACGTACTCGAATAGCCTACATACAAACGCCTTCACTTAGGAGCAAGGCATCTAGTCATGACATGCCACGTTGAGGTAAAAAACAGCTCCGTCTATCAAGGAGAAAAATCAAAAACGAGTATCTGAGCACAGAGCAGGCAAGCAAGATCTAAGACTAAAAGAACACTTAAAATGTTGTAAACGAATACAAAAATCCACAATTCAAATTGATAAATAATGCAATTTCTTGTTGGTTAAAAAATAAAAAAAGGCCAGTATTAAAATGAAACATTTTTATTAAATAAATAAAAAAACACTTAAGCTCAAATGAATCATTTTTATAACTTTACATTATGATGTTGTGATACCTAAATTCACCTAAAGTATGAACATTTAATTTGCTAAAGGTTATGAAATGCTTAATGTTTTTAAAGGTTACATTTAAACGAGTGTCAGATGACAGCAAAGATAATCTAAAATGTTAAAAGGAGAGACATACACTGTAAAAAAAATATTGTTGGTTTAACTTAAAATTTTAGGGTTACTTACTTTTTTAAGTTGATTGAACTGGAAAAAAGTTAATACAATGAAGGAGATTGATTTAATCATCAGAAACTCAAAATAATAAGTTCTCAACTAAATAAATTAAAGAAAAAAATGTTGTGATAACAAATCTTGAAAATATTTTTTTACAGTGTGAACATATGCGACCAAATGACCAATATCAAATATTTACAATATATAAAAAAAAACTAATATTAAGGAGAATGACAGGAATTCTGTCCCATGTTATCTACCCTTCTACCCTTATCACTCGCCCTCCTGTCGTCCTGAACCTGTATTATTTGAAAACACTGAGACATTTCTCAAAAAATCTTTTATGCTCCACAGAAGGAGGAAGAAAGTCATTCAGGTTTGTAAAAGACCTGAGGCGGAGTACATGATAAATTTAGATAAGCATACTTAAACTCCATCAGCCTTGCCACTTACACATCAAGAGCTTCGAAACACTCAACCAAAGAGCTACCATTGCTCCTTACTGGGAAACAGAAGAATAGTTGTGAGGATTTTAGGGAATCAAGTGAGGATGAAGAGTTCTCATACAGATTTTTTTGGGGGAAACAAAGAGCTGCGCAGGACCTGGCATACACACAAGAACAATAGCTCCCCCAGAGACAGCTGTCTGATTGCAGGGGGCCGCTGGGAATGGGGTGTCCCGGGAAGACGGACCATAGACAGATGCAGTGCTGTACTAAATCCGAGTGGATACTTGGGGAGGGGTGCAAAGCAGAAGGACAGCAAGTTGAACACAACACAGACAAAAAAATCCACACATAAACTGAAGCGAGAAGCAATGCCACATACTGCAAGTTTGGAAGTCTATACTTGTCTGAAAATACTTTGCTGACAATATCCAAGCAAAACTGTGTAAACATACATTACAAAAGCACTGACATGCAGATTTCTTCACAAAAACCTTTAAAGTTTCAGCAAAAAGGTTTAATCCCAGCTCATTTGAGTCCTACGTCAAAGAAACAGACAGATGGGTCAAGCAATTTGGTTTCTTTTCACATTTTAATACATTTCCCACACACTTGCACTGCGAGTCCAACTCTGAACATTATGGTCGGCCGGAATGACAAAGGATTTATACTGGTGTAATCCATCACTTTTTAAGCTGACCTGAAACCTGGGCTTTACAAAGGCTCAAGGAAAGCAGCCTGCAGGAACCGCCAGTGAAACTAATGATGTAAATAACACGAGATAATTATAAGAGTTGGTTGTAACTGAGCTCGTCTGGCCAGGCAGGCGAGAGCTTAAGTGTGACATCATTTACGAGCTGGCGCGAGTGTTCGTGTGTGACGCTGATGACAGGCTTCAGGATCCAGGCGAGAGCCCGAAGAGGTTTGGATGTCATAGTCGTGACTGAGCGCTCTCTAATTACAGAACACTGTTCCGCTTGTCAACACCATTGCTCTGAATTGTCCTGCTAATCTTGCCAGTATTACCACAGCAATCTGAGATGTGGCAAATGACACCATCAGATATACAAATCCAACACTTACTACAGATGGCCAGCTACAAAATACAAAACTGAAAGGATTCACCCTAACAAAAATAATGATAATACTAATAAATTAAATAAAATAAAAATACTCACATAAAATGGCAGTCAATTGTAACCATTAACCAAACATTTTTTTTTAATAAGTTCCTTTATCTCCTCCTGTGAAATATCATCTTTCTTTACTCATTAGGGTTAGTAAATGATGTTTATTTTTGGGTGAACTATCTCCTCAAAACCAAAGTAGGGTTTACAGCTCATTCTTACAAAATACGTTCTTTGTATACAGAAAAATGTACTAAATGATTGTAGAGAAAACAACTTATTATATTACAATAAGAATTATAATCATTATTGTTAATATTATTCATGTCATTGTATTTTGGCTAATTGTTTTCCCAATCTAAATGGCCATCAAATGCAGCTTTACATTTCTCACTTGAAAATCAGTGGCTGTGTTAAGTAAAAAAATCAAAACAATATATAAAATACGTTACTGTCGTTGGGTATCGTTCTTTGGAGAACCACCAACTGGTGCCATTATCAGTAGACCCGAAGTATTATATTAAATAGAAGTAAGTAAAAACAATTATTTGTCTTCATCTACATACAGCAGAACTGAAAACCAGCACAAAACCAAAGAAATGGGGAAGTGAAGGGCACTCCTTCAAACTATCTGGAAAAATTGGAGTCAATCACACACTTCAACATGCACGAACATGCAGACGCACTAAACCCACGAATGCTAAACCACTAAACCAAGAACACAACAGACTAGGTGACGAGCTTCATCCCGATGAATCAAAATCTCTGCATTTGTAACAAAAGCAGATGGTGGTAGTCAGCAACAGAAGGTTAGAGGATAGTGCATTAATTTTCGAGGTAACAAAATCCCTGCAGGCCCAAGATCTTCATCACACATATCAAATGACAGACCGTTGCATATCCAGCTCACAAATTCGACTGTAAAGTGGAGGGAGCAACTCCACACTCTCACCTTAGATCAAAGTTTGGGGTCAGTAAGTTTTTTTTTTTATTTACTTTGAAGTAAATTTTTTGAATTGTTAAAAAAGAATTGTTTCTGGAGCACTAAATCAGCATAATAAATGATTTCTTACACTCTAAACAATGCTGGGTTGTTTGAAGTTCAACCCATGGTTGGGTCAAATATGGACGAACCAAATTGTTGGGTAAAAAAATTTAATTTAAAAAAATGTAAACCAACGTTTGGATTTATCCATATGGCATATTTGACCCACCCAAGGGTTGAAACAACCCAGCATTTTTAGAGTGTATGGATCAAGTGACACTGAATGCATGAGTAATGGCTGCTGAAAATGAACAATAAACAATATTATTTAAATAGAAAACTGTTATTTAAAATTGCAACAATACTCACAATATTATGGTCTTTACTGTTTTTTTTAATCAAATAAACTTACTCTTGGTGAGCATAGGATACTTAAAGAAAAATAAAATCTTACAGACCCCAAATTTTTAAACGGTCGTGTACATTAACGCTTCTCGACAGGACTAAAAGTCTTGCAAGAACATCCTGTTTCTCTCACCTTATAGTTACTATATTTTGACTAGCCATCTAAAAATGAATATAAAAATGTAAAATGCAATGGAAATAAAATCAAGAATTAAATTTAAGCACAGTGTATTTTTACAGATCTCTCACCTTATGAAGAGGCAAGACCATAAATGCACCACCTCCGCTGGCTTCCACGATTATGGCAACAAATTTGGGGTTAACCGCACAGAAGGCGCTGTCCCACGTGACCCTGGACACCCTGATGTCATCGTAGCACTGGTCATTCTTCACCGCCTGGCCGAACACATGCCGGAACTTACTCTGTCGTACAACCCGTCTGAACATATCTGCAGAGAAGAACAGGACGAGAATGATGAATAAAGCAAATCACATGACCTGGACGCTTCAGTGATTTAACTGAACAGATATGAGCAGTGTACAGGAAACACCATCTGAACTGGTTAAGATGCCATTCATTTGTTAATGACAAGTAGATGTCAGTGTAAATGTCAGTCTTACACGGTTTAAAGATTGTCTTAAATCCACTGGCTAGTTTAAATATAATCCTAAAACATGACAGCGTTTGCACAAAGTTAATAATTACCTGAGCAGAACAGAGATAGTAAAAACTGACATATTAAAATGATTTAAAAGTGTTTGGCATGAAGAATAACGATGAAATCCATCTCAAAAAGTGCTGCTGAAAAATCAAAGCGAGTTTAAAGTGGGACAAGCTCGATTTGACATCACACATACCAGATGGGTTCACTATCCCGAATGTGGAAAAAGCTAGGATAAAACCCCACTCAGAGTACATTACTCACCCTATTTCACACAGAAACTCCACATACTCCAAGCGTCAACACAGCACATTGGTTTTTATACTATGTTTCGGCTTGTCTTGCTTTGATTTCTCAAACAAACCTGAATAACAAGAACATTCTGTCTTCGTGTTCATGCCATTTCCCAACTAAAACTATTAAGGCCCAACTAAAACAGAAGAAACACTAGGGCTGGATTGAGACGAACTGTCAATGAAAAAGAAGATAAGGTAAAAAGTAAAACAAACCCTATTGCTCAGGGGGATCAATAAACAATGTGATTAAGTCTGTAATGTAGTTCACACCCAAATAAGCCTATTTAGACCTACATTTTAATTAAATGGCTTCATAATCTTGGTGCAAAAAGTTGTCAGTGCTTACATGGTAGAACAATGTTTAGCCATGAAATTATTTGCACGAACATGCAGGCCACTTGGCTGACTAACCGTAGTGGTATTTCGCCTTTTGTCATTGGATGAAAAGACCTGCAAATGTTTGTTGCAGAATCTGTAAAAACAAAATGCTAGTTTTATTTATTTTTAATGAAATATTTAATGCAGGTATGTGTGAATATGTTATGATAAATTAATCAAATTTGATTAAAAAAAAACATTTTTTATTGAATATGATACTTCAAGTGGACATGAAATAAATTCACCCTATCCATTTTCTAAAATTATGTTATAGATCTTATTATGAACAATTCATCCAGAAATACATTTCACTTTTAAAAAAAAATGCTGACCTTGTAATGTTCAATCAATTGTTGTATCGGAACTTTGATCTGAAAACAGCATTTCTGTCTCTGGACTTGAGTGCAACGCCAACATCTTAAAATCCAATCATTATGCATAGAAGCAGTAGTGGTCAGTAGTGAAGTGTGGAGGATAAGGGAATGACTAAAAAAGCAGTTCATGTTGGTGGGTGTGGCTGTTTGACTAAGGAAGAATTTTGAACTATTGCATGATAATAGTGTAAAGCATAAAAGGCTTGTGCTTCAAATTCTCTCTCTCTCAACACCACTCACCTAACACTATTATCTGAAGCCACATTTTCAGGTGCATTGAAGTCACCATTCTGGTTTATGGACTATTGCCGTATTTTATCAGAAACGTATATATGTGAGACACATCGAAATGACATGTAAACAATTGATCGGATTGAAAACTTCTACGCATGTGCAATGACGTAGAAATGCCGTAGTGACGGATGACGCACAGAACAAGCTGTTGTTGTTGTTGAAGTGTCTAAAATTCTCATTCCACTTATCGTCTGTAAAGTGCTGCAGGACAATGTCATTCCAGTAGTCATTGCTTCGGAATCGCATGACGGCAGAATAAAATGACTTTTTTCGAGTCATTTCGTTCGTTGAATGAACAAAATGACTCAAAAAAAGATTTGTTTATTTTGATGAACGAGTTCGAACAAGAGAGTCACAAATACGGATCACAAAACAGAGCAAGGTGAGCATTTGTGCTTATAAAACTTATCAAACACCTTAATTTCTTTTCGACTGAAGAAAGAAAGACATGGACATCTTGGATGACATGAGGGTGAGTAAATTATCAGCAAAAGTTTTTATTTTTTTTTAAAGTGAACTACTCCTTTGACAGGTTTAGGGCCGGTTCACATATCGCGTCTTTTGCGCGCTCAAGTTCGTTATTTCAAATGTAGGCGCGCGGTATGCGCGCTCATAATGGAAGCGACGCGGTCGCGGTGCGACGCGCTCGTTTTTTCCAGGCGCGTCCGCGCCGCATCGAGATAAAAACATCTCAACTTTTCAGAATGCCGCAAGCGCACCGTAGGTCACGTGACACGAACCAACCAATCAGCTTCCTCGCCATTTTTGTTACCTCTTCTTAAAATATAATCAAACTGGTCCTTGTCCACTCTGGAATAGGCTTTGAACCTCCCATTGTTCAGGCGGAGTTCCTGAATCAGCTGGTGAAATTCCCCATGGTTCTTGCGTTTTTTGTAGTATGGGGTGCACCCAAACACTGCGGCGTTTTTTTACTTTTCTGAGTAAATAAATCTTGTAACAGAGTTACAGCAAGGGTTTTTCGGTGGTGGAAATCCATTGCTGAAATTTCCTTCATGTAATGGAGAGCGCAGCTGATGGTTGCTTAGCAACGACAGACGCCTCCGGAGTGCAACCGCCCTAGCGCTTCTTTGGAAAAAGGAGAACGCGTGCGCCTAGCGTTTTCTACGCGTTTTTAGGCGCGATATGTGAATGGCCCCTAAGTCTGCTTTTTAAAACCAAGAAAAGAAAAGATGGCAGGATCGTCAGGATGCCAGGATGATGGCTATTCACGCAGTGTGCACGTCAATAGACCAAAACCGATTTTAAGGACATCTCTTCCCTGCTAATGTGTTTACCAGCACAAGGGCGGGACAACCAAAATAAAATCTCACCTTATATTTTTTCTTATTCGACAAGCGGTTTCACTAATGCGGCAGAATAAGGAACAACAGACTATCACGACTTCCATATCATGCCAACTTTAACTTCCATACAGCATTGCTAATATATGTTAATATAGAAATATTCTTATCCCTTATCTGATAGGACCATTGTTCATATAACCGACCGACATTAATCTGCTGCACTGCATGTCAAAACTTAACAACAGCTTCCTAAAAACATGCTATCAATCACTAGAGGAAAAAAGACGCATCATGACTTTCTTGTCATAACAACATAGACCAGTAAGTATGAATCCAATGTAAATGGACACCAAAGATGCTGTTTCAAAGTCATGAAATGGAAGAATAGAGATATCTTTTATTGTGACATACATCCGAGTGCAATGGATAATGCTGGAAAAAGAAAAAAAATGTAAGCCGGGGACTTGCACTGAAAAGTGAAGGCAGATGAACATGAGCTTGAGGGGTTTAAGCAGACTAACTGCTTAGAGAAGTCCAGCATTTATTATTGGATTAAAAAAAAAAAAACATATGGATGGATAAATCGTTCGCAATAAGATAAATTTCACGCCTTTCAAAAATAGATTGGGTTCATTTTTTATTTTGTCAACTCCATCTGTAACCAACCATTCTTAATTCTTGAATATATTAATTTTAAAAAAGAAGAAAAAAAATATAAACCCCATTTTTACATTATTTTTGAACATTGTTCAAATTTATATCAGACACGGACAGCGAGATGAGACAGGAAATGATAAGTCAAGGGGGTAGGGATTAGGAAATGACAAGAGCCAAGCTCGAACTCGGGTGACCCGTATGCCTATGCCGCCATGCTTGCAATGCTAGCCAGACAATGTTCCCCTTTAGAAGAACAAACACAAACACATTAGTCAGTGACACTGTGCCTACAGTACCTTATATCAGTTATTATGATGCTACACCTCACACCACAGAAGGACTAACACAAGGCACTGGAGTAGGTTCATCCAGCTGGAGGGCTCAATACCACACTTACACCAAACAAACTCAACTGCTGCCGTTTCCTCATTCCCACCTCTTTCAATGCCTCATTTCCCATAATGCTGCTAGACATAAGTTCTGGTAACATAAATTTAGAAAGGACAGCAATGTCTCAGGGAGCAAAAGTGGAACTGAAAAGGTTTGTTTGGGCAGCAGAGATGGCTCTTCACATCAAACTTCTCTAAAAGCAGCTTTAGGTTCAACAAAGTCAAACAAACTCAAGTCTTTTGTGCAAATAAGGATGTACAGAAAGGGTCTGAGACGCAGAAGGTCACGGTTAGACCGCTTCTCTTCTTGGTTACTGCCTAGTTGATTAAAGCAGCAAATGAAATGAATCATCAGATACCCCTTTTCCACCAAAAAAAGAACTGGTTCGGAACTGGTGCTGGTTCAAAGTTGGTTCGAACTTCGGAGTTGGTTCAACTTGCGAACCGCTTCAGAACCTGTGACTAGAGCGCCCAGGAAACGATGTCATTACGTCACTGTGTACGTCGCCATACGTCTAGCTAGAAACGCTTGCAAATACAACATTACTTTAGGATTATCTCCAACTCGTATACCATGAAGGCTTTAAAAACAATTGAAATATGCAAGTCTTTTCGTTTGATATGTAATCTTTTCTGATAAGTTATGTACCCCTGTCTTGTGTCTTTTTTTCCTTTTCATTTATTTGTTCTATATTGTGACTGTTTCCTTCTTTGCTTATAATGTCTTCAAAAAAAATTACAAAAATAGAAACGCTTGCGTTAACTTCAAGCATAACAATTACAAAGGCGGACTCCATCGTGTTTTTTTGCAAATGTTTCTTTTGGCTTTGCGATCCTTTATTATGGTCAGAAAAGATGTTTAGAACACATCTAAACCCGCCCCAGCCCCCGACGTAAGCATGACGTGGTAAAAGAACGGTTCTAGTCCAGCAAAGAGTTGGTGTCACTTTGGAACCAGTTCTCCTGGCCGAGAACCGGTTCTTTGGCTGTTGAAACACAAAGAACTGGTTCGCGCACAGGCACCGGCTCCGAAACGGTTCTCAAAATGCTTTGGTGAAAAAGGGGCTAGAGAGCTTGCATGAATGAAGAGCAGGT